TTGGAGAGACACCACTTTAACCTCTTGCCTAACCAGCTGCACTATATCACCACAGAAAAACAAGGGGCTTCAGCTTGGAGAGACACCACTTTAACCTCTTGCCTAACCAGCTGCCCTGTATCACCACTGAAAAACAAGGGGCTTCAGCTTGGAGAGACACCACTTTAACCTCTTGCCTAACCAGCTGCACTATATCACCACAGAAAAACAAGGGGCTTCAGCTTTGAGAGACACCACTTTAACCTCTTGCCTAACCAGCTGCACTATATCACCACAGAAAAACAAGGGGCTTCAGCTTGGAGAGACACCACTTTAACCTCTTGCCTAACCAGCTGCCCTGTATCACCACAGAAAACAAGGGGCTTCAGCTTGGAGAGACACCACTTTAACCTCTTGCCTAACCAGCTGCACTATATCACCACAGAAAACAAGGGGCTTCAGCTTGAGAGACACCACTTTAACCTCTTGCCTAACCAGCTGCACTATATCACCACAGAAAACAAGGGGCTTCAGCTTGAGAGACACCACTTTAACCTCTTGCCTAACCAGCTGCACTATATCACCACAGAAAACAAAGGGGCTTCAGCTTGAGAGACACACACTTTAACCTCTTGCCTAACCAGCTGCCCTGTATCACCACAGAAAACAAGGGGCTTCAGCTTGAGAGACACCACTTTAACCTCTTGCCTAACCAGCTGCACTATATCACCACAGAAAACAAGGGGCTTCAGCTTGAGAGACACCACTTTAACCTCTTGCCTAACCAGCTGCACTATATCACCACAGAAAAACAAGGGGCTTCAGCTTGAGAGACACCACTTTAACCTCTTGCCTAACCAGCTGCACTATATCACCACAGAAAACAAGGGGCTTCAGCTTGAGAGACACCACTTTAACCTCTTGCCTAACCAGCTGCACTATATCACCACAGAAAACAAGGGGCTTCAGCTTGAGAGACACCACTTTAACCTCTTGCCTAACCAGCTGCACTATATCACCACAGAAAACAAGGGGCTTCAGCTTGAGAGACACCACTTTAACCTCTTGCCTAACCAGCTGCACTATATCACCACAGAAAAACAAGGGGCTTCAGCTTGAGAGACACCACTTTAACCTCTTGCCTAACCAGCTGCCCTGTATCACCACAGAAAACAAGGGGCTTCAGCTTGAGAGACACACCACTTTAACCTCTTGCCTAACCAGCTGCCCTGTATCACCACTGAAACACAAGGGGCTTCAGCTTGAGAGACACCACTTTAACCTCTTGCCTAACCAGCTGCCCTGTATCACCACAGAAAAACAAGGGGCTTCAGCTTGGAGAGACACCACTTTAACCTCTTGCCTAACCAGCTGCACTATATCACCACAGAAAAACAAGGGGCTTCAGCTTTGAGAGACACCACTTTAACCTCTTGCCTAACCAGCTGCCCTGTATCACCACAGAAAACAAGGGGCTTCAGCTTGGAGAGACACCACTTTAACCTCTTGCCTAACCAGCTGCACTATATCACCACAGAAAACAAGGGGCTTCAGCTTAGAGAGACACCACTTTCACCTCTTGCCTAACCAGCTGCCCTGTATCACCACTGATACACAAGGGGCTTCAGCTTAGAGAGACACCACTTTAACCTCTTGCCTAACCAGCTGCACTATATCACCACAGAAAAAAACAAGGGGCTTCAGCTTGAGAGACACCACTTTAACCTCTTGCCTAACCAGCTGCCCTGTATCACCACAGAAAACAAGGGGCTTCAGCTTGGAGAGACACCACTTTAACCTCTTGCCTAACCAGCTGCACTATATCACCACAGAAAAACAAGGGGCTTCAGCTTGAGAGACACCACTTTAACCTCTTGCCTAACCAGCTGCCCTATATCACCACAGAAAACAAGGGGCTTCAGCTTGAGAGACACCACTTTAACCTCTTGCCTAACCAACTGCCCTGTATCACCACAGAAAAACAAGGGGCTTCAGCTTGAGAGACACCACTTTAACCTCTTGCCTAACCAGCTGCACTATATCACCACAGAAAACAAGGGGCTTCAGCTTGAGAGACACCACTTTAACCTCTTGCCTAACCAGCTGCACTATATCACCACAGAAAAACAAGGGGCTTCAGCTTGAGAGACACCACTTTAACCTCTTGCCTAACCAGCTGCACTATATCACCACAGAGAAAACAAGGGGCTTCAGCTTGAGAGACACCACTTTAACCTCTTGCCTAACCAGCTGCCCTATATCACCACAGAAAAACAAGGGGCTTCAGCTTGGAGAGACACCACTTTAACCTCTTGCCTAACCAGCTGCCCTGTATCACCACAGAAAAACAAGGGGCTTCAGCTTGGAGAGACACCACTTTAACCTCTTGCCTAACCAGCTGCACTATATCACCACAGAAAAACAAGGGGCTTCAGCTTGGAGAGACACCACTTTAACCTCTTGCCTAACCAGCTGCCCTGTATCACCACAGAAAACAAGGGGCTTCAGCTTGGAGAGACACCACTTTAACCTCTTGCCTAACCAGCTGCACTATATCACCACAGAAAAACAAGGGGCTTCAGCTTGGAGAGACACCACTTTAACCTCTTGCCTAACCAGCTGCCCTGTATCACCACTGATACACAAGGGGCTTCAGCTTGGAGAGACACCACTTTAACCTCTTGCCTAACCAGCTGCACTATATCACCACAGAAAAACAAGGGGCTTCAGCTTGGAGAGACACCACTTTAACCTCTTGCCTAACCAGCTGCCCTGTATCACCACAGAAAAACAAGGGGCTTCAGCTTGGAGAGACACCACTTTAACCTCTTGCCTAACCAGCTGCCCTATATCACCACAGAAAAACAAGGGGCTTCAGCTTGAGAGACACCACTTTAACCTCTTGCCTAACCAGCTGCACTATATCACCACAGAAAACAAGGGGCTTCAGCTTGAGAGACACCACTTTAACCTCTTGCCTAACCAGCTGCACTATATCACCACAGAAAAACAAGGGGCTTCAGCTTGAGAGACACCACTTTAACCTCTTGCCTAACCAGCTGCCCTATATCACCACAGAAAACAAGGGGCTTCAGCTTGGAGAGACACCACTTTAACCTCTTGCCTAACCAGCTGCCCTATATCACCACAGAAAAACAAGGGGCTTCAGCTTGAGAGGACACCACTTTAACCTCTTGCCTAACCAGCTGCACTATATCACCACAGAAAAACAAGGGGCTTCAGCTTGAGAGACACCACTTTAACCTCTTGCCTAACCAGCTGCCCTGTATCACCACAGAAAACAAGGGGCTTCAGCTTGAGAGACACCACTTTAACCTCTTGCCTAACCAGCTGCACTATATCACCACAGAAAACAAGGGGCTTCAGCTTGAGAGACACCACTTTAACCTCTTGCCTAACCAGCTGCACTATATCACCACAGAAAAACAAGGGGCTTCAGCTTGAGAGACACCACTTTAACCTCTTGCCTAACCAGCTGCCCTATATCACCACAGAAAACAAGGGGCTTCAGCTTGAGAGACACCACTTTAACCTCTTGCCTAACCAGCTGCCCTATATCACCACAGAAAAACAAGGGGCTTCAGCTTGGAGAGACACCACTTTAACCTCTTGCCTAACCAGCTGCACTATATCACCACAGAAAAACAAGGGGCTTCAGCTTGGAGAGACACCACTTTAACCTCTTGCCTAACCAGCTGCCCTGTATCACCACAGAAAACAAGGGGCTTCAGCTTAGAGAGACACCACTTTAACCTCTTGCCTAACCAGCTGCACTATATCACCACAGAAAAACAAGGGGCTTCAGCTTGGAGAGACACCACTTTAACCTCTTGCCTAACCAGCTGCCCTGTATCACCACTGAAACACAAGGGGCTTCAGCTTGGAGAGACACCACTTTAACCTCTTGCCTAACCAGCTGCCCTATATCACCACAGAAAAACAAGGGGCTTCAGCTTGGAGAGACACCACTTTAACCTCTTGCCTAACCAGCTGCACTATATCACCACAGAAAACAAGGGGCATCAGCTTGAGAGACACCACTTTAACCTCTTGCCTAACCAGCTGCCACTATATCACCACAGAAAAACAAGGGGCTTCAGCTTGGAGAGACACCACTTTAACCTCTTGCCTAACCAACTGCCCTGTATCACCACAGAAAAACAAGGGGCTTCAGCTTGGAGAGACACCACTTTAACCTCTTGCCTAACCAGCTGCACTATATCACCACAGAAAAACAAGGGGCTTCAGCTTGGAGAGACACCACTTTAACCTCTTGCCTAACCAACTGCCCTGTGTCACCACTGAAACACAAGGGGCTTCAGCTTGGAGAGACACCACTTTAACCTCTTGCCTAACCAGCTGCACTATATCACCACAGAAAAACAAGGGGCTTCAGCTTGGAGAGACACCACTTTAACCTCTTGCCTAACCAGCTGCCCTGTATCACCACTGATACACAAGGGGCTTCAGCTTGGAGAGACACCACTTTCACCTCTTGCCTAACCAGCTGCACTATATCACCACAGAAAAACAAGGGGCTTCAGCTTGGAGAGACACCACTTTAACCTCTTGCCTAACCAGCTGCACTATATCACCACAGAAAAACAAGGGGCTTCAGCTTGGAGAGACACCACTTTAACCTCTTGCCTAACCAACTGCCCTGTATCACCACAGAAAAACAAAGGGCATCAGCTTAGAGAGACACCACTTTAACCTCTTGCCTAACCAGCTGCACTATATCACCACAGAAAAACAAGGGGCATCAGCTTGGAGAGACACCACTTTCACCTCTTGCCTAACCAGCTGCACTATATCACCACAGAAAACCTCTTGACACTACTTCCCTAACCAGCTGCACTATATCACCACAGAAAACAAGGGGCTTCAGCTTGGAAAGACACTACAGCTTCCAGGCTAATGAAAAGATGTGTTGTATATATTAATGTGCTGTACCTATAAACTGATGATTGCTTCAAGCACAATAAAAAATAACACAGGCACGTTCTAAAACATATTTATTGAATTTTATGTTTTTACATATATTTGCACACACCGTACCTTTCCCAAATATTCAAATTTGTGATATGTACATCTGCATGCACACACGCACACACACATGTTTAACCATGTAAATCCCAAGAGGGTTGAAGAGGAGAAATAATCCCATACATGTATATCCAATGGTGAACTATCTGACTTTATGAGTGACACATGACATCACATTCCACCCAGAGAGTTCTATTAGTCCAAACTAATCACCAGGCTGCACTATCTAGTCCTGGCTACAGCCAGGGCACTGATAGGTGCTGGAATGCCATATCCCAGGCTTGAACAAAAGATAATATGACAAAGTTCCACATCTCTGGCTCAGTACCACAATCTTCGACCTAAGCCAAATCATCCTGATGGAACATCATCACCACCAGACACACGAATGGTGTCCAGGATGAGGCTGGGAACAGACACACCAAACAAAGGGATTAGCACTGAATATAACCAGGCTACCAAGAGATGGTAGTATGCCATTGTTTCATGAATAGGTTCGGGTGAACCATGCCACTGTACCTGCCACGCCGTCACATTTTCCATGATATGATGCCATAAGGGGCCATAAGTTCTAATATCACAGAATGAAACAATATATACATGTATGTACATGACATAAAGTATGCAGGATGTTGGACCAAAATTACAATGAGTGAATTGGGTTTTACAACACTTTTAACAGCATTATATGACAGTGGTTTTGTTTAGTTGAAATTTTTCTATTGTAAAAGTTGCAAGATGTGATTCCAGCATTAATGTCAGCAGATTGTAGCAACTGCAGGCTATGAAAGTGAGTTACAACAAACAACTGATGTGAATCAACTGCTTGGAGCATGAACTGAGGAATGAACATGGCAGAAAAAGAACAACATAAAAAGCTGTGACTACCTGTAATTGCAGTATATTGCTGAGAGAATTATGCTGAACAAGTGGTTATGAAACTCAAGGACACCTCATCCCTGTGGCCAGACATAATTCCTAAAGCAAGAACCCCTGCCTTTTTGGCTGCTGTGACACCATGGTTTGTACATGTTTGGGATAACCACACAGCATGGGCTGACATTATTCTGAAACGGTTCATTCCAGTGAATAATGTTCAATTCTCTGGCAAGCTTCTGTCAAAGAAACTATTGCACTGATCACAAGCCGATGATGATGTGCCATCCTGGCTGACAGGAATAGGATACATCAGATTAAAGGGGGAAGTGATTTAAAACAGGGTCATGAGGTCAGACCATTAACATGTAACTCATGTTTACATTTCAGTGGAATGAGCCACTGTGAGCTCCTTTCATCCACACAGCATCATAGAATACAGATTTCATTTCTGAGTTTATTATAGCAATTGGGCATAGTTTCCCATGTACATGTGTACTTGGATAAAGAGGTGCCACTGTACTGAATATTGCCTTTTGTTTGCTTAGATAATCTCCAACTTCAAATCATGCATAGGTACAACTTGTGCATAATAAGCTAAACTTTACTTATAACCTCAATCAAATATTTACAAAGTATGACATTTCAGGGCAAAATAACCGAACAATTTAGATATTTTATGTTCACTAGCTTATTGCTTTCATAAATAGTTCTTCTTGCTACAAGTGGCAAATATGTCACTCTCATCTGACCATATCCAGACAGAGTTTAAAGCACACAGTTAATCATGTTATACATGTTTTGTAACTAGACGTCATGGAAAACAAATAACATACAGGCAGATATGGAAAACATTCAGGTATCATATAAATTATCACAACATACACCATGTTACCTTGAGGGAAGGAGGTACATGGTCACGTGTGGAGATGCTCACGCTAGACGGACCTGGCGTTGAGGCCACATTTAACCATCAAGTGACCATAAACAACTAACACTGGACAGTTCAGATCAATAATGGGATAGACATGGATGCTGTAAACAATATACAGTTATACTTGCTGATGAAAGCACTGGAAGGCACTGTACCTGTAACACCATTGTCACAACCAAAGACTTGAGTGAATGTCTTTGCAGATAAAAGTCCAACTTTCTAGTTCAAAGGTCAAGACTGTTTCACAGCCACTTCATGTCATACAAATGACCAAGATTTGACCAGTACTGACATGACAATGTTTATCGACATGGATTGTTCTGAAGGGATGACGCCATTACTTCACAGTAACAACATACTGTATGTGGTTAACAAACCTTGCAACAGATACTGTAAATCTTGAACTTAATGAAGCTCAATACCAACACACTCAACCTGAACAGAATTTAGAGAGAAAACTAATCCATGAGGTTAACCTAAGATGTATTTAATCAAACATTAATTCAAGCAAACCAAATGGTCACTGTTAATAAAATCACCAAATCTCCATGTAATTGCTCATTAATGTTTGAGTGACTTATTTCAATGAACTGGTACTTAATACAACTTCTTCTCCATAAACCCAGAATAAATAGCTGTTGCTATGTTCTATATTATATTCCATATTGTTTTCACCAATCTCCCTGAAATCATGTGTGAACTGAAGATAACTTCAATGTTATTTACATGATTAGATTACTGACATTGATACCTTCAAACATTGAAACAAAACCTAGGTTTGCAAGGAATGGATTAAAGTCTCATAAGTGCCATGATTTCACTCGTCCTATTTGTGTTTTACGTCAGTGTTGTCCACGATGCCCCACAGGTGACATGAGGTGCACTGTTCCACACCTATACAACATCTGGCAGTCAGTGGTCATCTCAGTGCTGTACTTATGGTTATTATTTCAATATATAGAGTAATAGCTGCAACTAACATGATATTAAATTTAATCAATCCCAGTTCAAATAATAGTTTCAGATATAATTGCTTCCCTTCATTGCCTCAAATTATTTTGCATTAGATTAGTGGGTATTTTTTCTAAAGTTCTAGAAAATGTGTGTACAGTCAATTCTAGCTTTAGACAAAATACAAACAGTTATCTTGATCTTTGCATATAAATAAAACAATGCCCTGCAGAACAGGAAATCCAATTTCAAAGGTAACTCATCATGTCTAGTAATTTAACATTTCTTGTGCCTGTTTGTTGTCCTCATTTACTTGCAGGGATAGCTGGGGAGGCAGTCAATATTGAGACATAAAAGCATACTTTCAAAAATGCAGTCAAAGACCACTTACATCTTTGCAGTTATTTAAACTTTAAATTTCAAGATTTACAGTATATTCTTTCTCTGACAAATGCACCAAATATATCAGCATGAATATTACTGGACTCTGCAAGATCTTGTAGGAGATGTTCCATGGAACAGGCCATGGAGGTTGCAGATCACTAGATATCACTGTAGTGCTGAGATCTTCAAGGCAACATTGCTGCTGATATCAAGGAAGAATGGTCCTAGCTTCCCAGGTCTGAATGTACATGGCTGAATGTTGTAGACGCCACCAGAGATGTTGTCCAACTGTAGCACACAGTAGCCTGGTCTGCAGCAGAGAAGACAGAGTCAGTAGTCGCACAAACACACAATGGTGACTTGCTGGGACCAGCTGTAGAGGGAATATTGGAGTGATTGTGGGAGTGGTTTTACGCCGCTTGTAGCAATATTCATATCGGGGGACACTATTGTACCCATGTGGGGAATCGAACCCGGGTATTCCACATGACAAGCAAACGCTTTAATCACTAAGCTACCCAACCACCCTCTGAATATTGGAAGTTGAATCATCTTGTATACGACATTTGTACATGACAGAGTTATTCAACTAATCTTCTGATATCACACTGATAGTCTACTGTTTTACTACATGGATCCTATATCACTGATATCACCTGGACAATATGGGAGAAAACACTGATATCACCTGGACTATATACCATCAAAACTGATATCACCTCAACAATATACCAAACACTGATATCATCTGGATTACATACCATCAAACACTAACATCTCGACTATATGGCAGCAAGCACTGTTATCATCTGGACTATGTGAAAGCAAGCACTGTTATCATCTGGATTATGTGAAAGCAAGCACTGTTATCATCTGGACTATGTGAGAGCAAGCACTGTTATCATCTGGACTATGTGGGACAAAACACTCATATCATCTGGACTATGTGTGAGAAAACACTGATATCAACTGGACTATGTGGGAGAAAACACTGATATCATCTGGACTATGTTTGAGAAAACACTCATATCATCTGGACTATGTGGGAGAAAACACTGATATCATCTGGACTATGTTTGAGAAAACACTGATATCATCTGGACTATGTGGGAGAAAACACTGATATCATCTGGACTATGTGGGAGAAAACACTGATATCATCTGGACTATGTGGGAGAAAACACTGATATCATCTGGACTATGTGGGAGAAAACACTGATATCATCTGGACTATGTGGGAGAAAACACTGATATCATCTGGACTATGTGGGAGAAAACACTGATATCATCTGGACTATGTGGGAGCAAGCACTGATATCATCTGGACTATGTGGGAGAAAACACTGATATCATCTGGACTATGTGGGAGAAAACACTGATATCATCTGGACTATGTGGGAGAAAACACTGATATCATCTGGACTATGTGGGAGAAAACACTGATATCATCTGGACTATGTGGGAGAAAACACTGATATCATCTGGACTATGTGGGAGAAAACACTGATATCATCTGAACTTCAGACCTGCCTACCCTTTTAAAGAAAATAGTAAGATCAGCTAAAAAAATAGTAAGGCAGGTGCATTTGATAATAAGGCATGTTAATGTCAAGAAATAGAGGAAAAACATAGCTGGTTAAAATCTTAATATAGTGTTTAATAGTCAAATGTGGTGTTGATCTAATTAACGTTTTTTAAAGTCTTTCACTTTGAAATGAAGTTTACCATCACTGTAAGATGCAAAGATTATTTATATAAAATGTTTATGATGCGACTTGTTTTTCAGTACTTTATATACCATAAATGACTCTGTAAATAGCATGGGCATGCCTTTATCTAGTATTCTACCATTTATGTGTACAAGTCGTAAGGAATTTCAGTATGATAATAAGGTCGTAATTTAGCACCAAAAATAGTAAGCTTTACGCCAAAATCGTAAGGAGCCAAGTCTGGGACTTGAAGTCAGAAAACCACAATTTCACCTGAAATCTCCTGATGTCTTCTTGGAGAAGGATCCGGGTGCCTTGGGTACATTCTGACTGACTGCTATCACCTCAAACCCAACACTGTACACTCTGAAATACAAATGTGTTGTTGACTTCTAGAACAATCTTCAAAACCAAGTTCACCAGATGCTACAAGTGGAACAGTGCACCTTTGTGCACCTGAAATCAAGTCCATTGAACGGAGAGGGTACCTCTGTGCTTCAATAACCTGAGACAGTGAGTGCAATAGTGCACCCCTCTACTTCAATAATCTGAAGCACTGTGCTTCAATAACCTGAGACAGTGAGTGCAATAGTGCACCCCTGTGCTTCAATAACCTGAGAGAGTGGGTGCAATAGTGCACCCCTCTACTTCAATAATCTGAAGCAGTGAGTGCAATGGTGCACCCCTGAACTTCAATAACCTGAAGCAGTGAGTGCAATAGTGCACCCCTGTAATTCAATAACCTGAAGCACTGAGTGCAATAGTGCACCCCTGTACTTCAATAACCTAAAACAGTGAGTGCAATAGTGCACCCCTGTACTTCAATAACCTGAAGCAGTGAGTGCAATAGTGCACCCCTGTACTTCAATAACCTGAAGCAGTGAGCAATAGTGCAATCAATAGTGCAGTGAGTGCCCTGTGCACCCCTGTCAATAACCTGAGGCAGTGAGTGCAATAGTGCACCCTGAGTGACTTCAATAACCTGAAGCAGTGAGTGCAATAAGTGCAGTGAGTGCAATAGTGTACCCCTGTACTTAATAACCTAAAACCCTGTACCCTTCAATAACCTGAAGCAGTGAGTGCAATAGTGCACCCCTGTACTTCAATAACCTGAAGACAGTGAGTAGCAATAGTGCGGGGACCCTGTACTTCAATAACCTGAAGCAGTGAGTGCAATAAGTTAACCCTGTACTTCAATAACCTGAAGCAGTGAGTGCACGCGTGTACTTCAATAACCTAGTGCACCCCTGTACTTCAATAACCTGAGGCAGTGAGTGCAATAGTGCACCCCCTGTGAAGCTTCAATAACCTGTACTTTCAATAACCTAAAACAGTGAGTGCAATAGTGCACCCCCCTGAGGCTTCAATAACCTGAAGCAGTGAGTGCAATAGTGCACCCCTGTACTTCAATAACCTGAGAGCAGTGAGTGCAATAATGAGGCAGTGAGTGCACCCCTGTACTTCAATAACCTGAAGCAGTGTGACCTGTGCAATGCAGTGCACACCCTGTACTTCAATACCTGCAATAAGAGTGAAGTCAATAACCGTGCACCCTGTACTTCAATAACCTGAGGCAGTGAGTGCAATAGTGCACCCCTGTACTTCAATAACCTGAAGCAGTGAGTGCAATAGTGCACCCCTGTACTTCAATAACCTGAGGCAGGGAGTGCAATAGTGCACCCCTGTACTTCAATAACCTGAAGTGCAATAGTGCACCCTGTACTTCAATAACCTGAGGCAGTGAGTGGGAGTGCAATACCTGAAGCCAGGAGTGCAATAGTGCACCCCTGTACTTTCAATAACCTGAGGCAGTGCATGTAATAGTGCACCAACATGCTTCAATAACCAGACTAGTTATAAGCAGTGTAAGTAGAACAGTGGCCTCATTGAATGTAATAGTGAAGAAGGTTATAGGATTATTTGACACATTTCAAGTCACACCTTGCAAGAACCAACATGGAAAAGGGACTGACCAGTAGTTGAAGTATTACTCACTTGGGGCCCAGGAGCTCAATCTGTATACAGTTGTCTGTACTGCTGTTGTCTATGAGAATCTGGTAGATAGGGTTGTTCTTGTGTGTGTCCAAGTTGTTGGAACATCCACCAGCAGAGGTCTGAGTCCACTGACCATTCACCTGCAGTCAGGAACATCCCATCAGTTCAACTGATGAAGGAACCACACATATGCTGCTGTTCTGGTTTTCATTATATAGCAATCTATTCTGTTAGTCATTTCAGCCATTTTGATGAAGTTCTGAAGAAACATTAATATGTGCTGTCACGCTACCCATGTCAGGCAATTGTGCCACACATTAGTTCCTATGACACTCCTAATATTGTGCTACACATCTAGACACTGAGTCTATCTAGTTTGCTGAGAACATTCTTGATCAGTTCATCTAACACAGCTGATTCCTACCATGGTGCCAGACATCCTTTCCTCGTTTCAAATTTATCCATCCAATCAGTTGAAAGAAAACTTAAGAACAAACGGACACAAGTGGATAAGTCTCCCTTCACATCTAAAAGGCATGATATATGATGCTCCAAACACCGCGATATCACAGTCTGAGCTTCACACCATTTATCTGACTACATCCAATTGCATGTGTGCATAGAAAAGATGTGACATCTGCCCAGCCTGATACCCTCTAACAACATCATCTGTATGGATACCTTTAGCTACCCACCTTCTGGAAGTACTGTGACTTGTAGGGGTCCTTGTACTGCTTGAGAGAAAACTCACATGTGGAGTAGACCCTGAGTGTGTAGTGAATACTGTTGTTCTTCTCATACTGAGACACGACCAGCGTGTAGAGTGATGTCCCCTTGTTCTCCACCAGTTTACACAGGTAGTGTGGGCTGTTGATCCTCACTCCATCCTTATAAGGAGGAGGGTCATCTGCAATTGCCAACATAAAACACCATAACATTGAAATAGCATGCAACAAACTGCAGGAGCATGATGGTCAATAACAAATAGCATGATGTCAATCACTGGATTGTCTGCTCCAGATTCGATTATTTCGATTATTCTAGTACACAATGTGACACCTCACCTGCAGGGACACAATGAGAACCCTACTCTAGTTGTACTCACTGTGACCCTTCATCCAGTTGCACACCCTGTGACCCCTCATGTTATTTTAGATTCGTTTTCAAAACACAATCACATTTACAAAAATGGCCAACAGCAACTTTATTTCCTTCATCGCTTAAGAAACTTTTCTATTGACAAAACCATAATGACCGTTGTTTATCAAACCTTTATTCAAAGTGTGGTGACCTACAATTGTTTATGTAGGTATGGGGGTCTGTCCGCTCGCAACAAAAACAAACTTTTCAAAATTACTGGAGTGTCTTTTGAGTATATTCCCATTATCTATGAGCGCCAGATTGTCAAAAAGGCCCCTAAAATTAGAATTGATAGTTCCCATATTTTATCTCACCATTTTGAACTACTTCCGTCTGGACGTCGCTTTCAATTACCTTCCCTTAAAACAAACAGAGCTCGACAGTCCTTCATACCATCCAGTATTAATGCAACAAATGTGTGAATAGTCAATGCAACAAATGTTTCTGAATAGTCATCATGCATGCTGTTTTGATAACTCTGGGATAATAAAGTTTTAACTTACTCTTACTACTGGGGTACAGTGTGTCACTCTAGTACAGTATCTCATCTACATAGTACATTGTACTCATGTATCATCTAGTACATCTACTAGTACACTCATAACTGACCCCTCATACTACTAGTACAGTACTCTCTCATCTACTAGTACAGTTGTGACTTATCTTATCTACTAGTACACTGTGACCCCTCATCTACTAGTACAGTATCTCATCTACTAGTACACTGTGACCCTCATCTACTAGTACAGTACAGTACTCATCTCATCTACTAGTACACTGTGACCCCCTCATCTACTACTAGTACACTACAGCCCCTCATCTACTAGTACACTGTGACCTCATCTCATCTACTAGTACAGTAGTATGACCCTCATCTACTAGTACACTGTGACCCCTCATCTACTAGTACACTGTGACCCCTCATCTACTAGTACAGTGCACCTCATCTACTAGTACAGTGACCTCATCTACATCTACTAGTACAGTACCCCTCATCTACTAGTACAGTACTCTCATCTACTAGTACACTGTGACTCTCATCTACTAGTACACTGTGACCCCTCATCTACTAGTACAGTGTGACCCCTCATCTACTAGTACACTGTGACTCTCATCTACTAGTACACTTTCACTCCCCCTCATCTCATCTACTAGTACAGTATGTGACCCTCATCTACTAGTACACTACAGTGACCCCTCATCTACTAGTACACTGTGACCCCTCATCTACTAGTACACTGTGACCCTCATCTACTAGTACAGTATAGTGACCCTCATCTACTAGTACAGTACCCTTCATCTACTAGTACAGTATGTGATCCCTCATCTACTAGTACACTGTGACCCCTCATCTACTAGTACAGTGACCCCTTCATCTACCCTCATCTACTAGTACACTGTGACCCCTCATCTACTAGTACACTGTGACCCTCATCTACTAGTACAGTACCCTCATCTACTAGTGACCCCTCATCTACTAGTACACTGTGACCCTCATCTACTAGTACAGTGACCTCATCTACTAGTACACTGTGACCCTCATCTACTAGTGACGCCCTCATCTACTAGTGACTGTGACCCCTCATCTACTAGTACAGTGTGACCTCTCATCTACTAGTACACTGTAGACCCCTCTCATCTCTAGTACTACTGTGACCCTCATCTACTAGTACACTGTGACCCTCATCTACTAGTACAGTGTGACCCCTCATCTACTAGTACAGTATGACCCCTCATCTACTAGTACACTGTGACCCCTCATCTACTAGTACAGTACCCCTCATCTACTAGTACAGTACTGTGACCCTCATCTACTAGTACACAGTGACCTCTCATCTACTAGTACACTGTGACCCTCATCTACTAGTACACTGTGACCCCTCATCTACTAGTACACTGTGACCCCTCATCTACTAGTACAGTACACTGTGACCCCTCATCTACCCTCATCTACTAGTACACTGTGACCCTCATCTACTAGTACACTGTGACCCCCTCATCTACTAGTACACTACTAGACCCTCATCTACTAGTACAGTACGCTTCATCTCTCATCTACTAGTACACTCATCTACTTCTCTCTATCTACTAGTAGTAGTACTGTGACCCCTCATCTACTAGTACACTGTGACCCCTCATCTACTAGTACAGTGTGACCCTCATCTACTAGTACACTGTGACCCTCATCTACTAGTACACTGTGACCCCTCATCTACTAGTATAGTACACCCCTCATCTACTAGTACACTGTGACCCTCATCTACTAGTACACTGTGACCCCTCATCTACTAGTACAGTACCCCTCATCTACTAGTACAGTACACCCCTCATCTACTAGTACACTGTGACCCCTCATCTACTAGTACAGTGTGACCCCTCATCTACTAGTACACTGTGACCCCTCATCTACTAGTACAGTGTGACCCCTCATCTACTAGTACAGTGTGACCCCTCATCTACTAGTACACTGTGACCCCTCATCTACTAGTACCTCTCATCTACTAGTACTACCCTCATCTACTAGTACACTGTGACCCTCATCTACTAGTACAGTACTCATCTACTAGTACAGTATGCCCCTCATCTACTAGTAGTACACTGTGACCCTCTCATCTACTAGTACACTAATGACCCTCATCTACTAGTACACAGTGACCCTCATCTACTAGTACAGTGACCCTCATCTACTAGTACAGTGACCCCTCATCTACTAGTACAGTACCCTCATCTACTAGTACACTGTGACCCTCATCTACTAGTACACTGTGACCCCTCATCTACTAGTACACTGTGACCCCTCATCTACTAGTACACTGTGACCCCTCATCTACTAGTACACTGTGACCCTCATCTACTAGTACAGTGACCCTCATCTACTAGTACACTGTGACCCTCATCTACTAGTACAGTGACCCTCATCTACTAGTACACTGTGACCCCTCATCTACTAGTACACTGTGACCCTCATCTACTAGTACAGTGTGACCCCTCATCTACTAGTACACTGTGACCCCTCATCTACTAGTACACTGTGACCCCTCATCTACTAGTACACTGTGACCCCTCATCTACTAGTACACTGTGACCCCTCATCTACTAGTACAGTACGACCCCTCATCTACTAGTACAGTGTGACCCCTCATCTACTAGTACAGTATGACCTCTCATCTACTAGTACAGTACTCTCTACTAGTACAGTATGACCCTCATCTACTAGTACACTAGACCCTCATCTACTAGTACACAGCACGCCCTCATCTACTAGTACAGTGACCCTCATCTACTAGTACACTGACCCCTCATCTACTAGTACAGTACCTCATCTACTAGTACAGTGTGACCCTCATCTACTAGTACACTGTGACCCTCATCTACTAGTACACTGTATCTAATGATGTGTCACATGACTTGCCTTATGTATGATGTCACATGACTTGCCTTATCTATATATGTCACATGACTTACCTTATCTATGATATGTCACATGACTTGCCTTATCTATGATATGTCACATGACTTGCCTTATCTATGATATGTCACATGACTTACCTTACCTATGATATGTCACATGACTTGCCTTATCTATGATATGTCACATGACTTACCTTATCTATGATATGTCACATGACTTGCCTTATCTATGATATGTCACATGACTTGCCTTATCTATGATATGTCACTTGACTTGCCTTATCTATGATATGTCACATGACATGTCTTATCTATGATATGTCACATGAATTGCCTTATCTATATGTCACATGACCTGCCTTATCTATATGTCACATGACTTGCCTTATCTATGATATGTCACATGACTTGACCCTTATCTATGATATGTCACTTGACTTGCCTTATCTGATATGTCACATGACATGTCTTATCTATGATATGTCACATGAATTGCCTTATCTATATGTCACATGACCTGCCTTATCTATATGTCACATGACTTGCCTTATCTATGATATGTCACATGACTTGTGACTTATCTATGATATGTCACATGACTTGCCTTATCTATGATATGTCACATGACCTGCCTTATCTATATGTCACATGACTTGCCTTATCTAAGATATGTCACATGACTTGCCTTATCTATATGTCATATGACTTGCCTTATCTAAGATATGTCACATGACTTGCCTTATCTATGATATGTCACATGACCTGCCTTATCTATATGTCACATGACTTGCCTTATCTAAGATATGTCACATGACCTGCCTTATCTATATGTCATATGACTTGCCTTATCTAAGATATGTCACATGACTTGCCTTATCTATGATATGTCACATGACTTGCCTTATCTATATGTCACATGACTTGTTCTATCTAACATATGTCACATGACTTGCTCCTTATCTATATGTCATATGACTTGCCTTTATCTTAAGATATATGTCACATGACTTGCCTTATCTATGATATGTCACATGACTTGCCTTATCTATGATATGTCGAGTGAGGAGGATCCACACAGCAGCAGGCTTTGCTGGCCTTGACCTCCAGCCTGATACTGTGGGTTGTCACTAATATTGTAGCTGTCTTTCTTGGGACCTTCCCTTGGCATGCCAGGAACTGTTGGGGTCAGAAACATATACTTATATACTGCCCCCCATCAAACAATTATAGTACATAATCAAATATGACTGATATATACGCTACATCTCTAGAAATAAAGTGATGAACCAGTAATCACCCACATCCATGTAACCTTAGTGGCTTTCAGGAACAATGGTCTCCATACTTCCAACATGG